GGGAAGTGGTTGAGTCACCATCCCTGGAAGTATTTAAAAGATGTGTAGATGCGGCACTTAGGGACATGGTTTAGTAGTGGACTCGCCAGTGTTAGGTTTACAGTTGGACTTGATGATCTTAAAGGTCTTTTCCAATCTAAATTATTCTAAGATTGAGTTTAGGCTTTTCTAAAAGAGATGGTTAAATTCAGATTTTCAATTAAAATTTGGCAAATTTCTACCCAGAAAATTCAATTTACTTCAAAGAAAATCGTTAACAAGAATTTTAATTACCTTAATTTTTATAATTGCGTAAGTATAAATGTAATGTTTGTGAAATGTTTTGTTCAGAAATACTGTTTAGAGCCTTAACAATTAGAAACACCAGTTATAACAAATAGCTCAAACTGGGGAATACTGTCCTTTGAACCAACATGGCACAGGAATCCAATGCCCAGTTCAAACCACCTTCAGCTGCCCACCTTGCCTTTTTCCATTAATAGGACTAGTCAGTGGCACGTGAAATGCTGGTTTCATCACTCACTGGAAACCAGCCTAACCCAAACATTAACCCCAAAACATGGCAGTTTTCAAGAAGTTCCCGAGCAGTCTCTGAGAGGGATCAGCAGCACAACGCTTCCTCCTCTTCCTGGCTCATACACAGTGCTTTCTGGCTGCGTCTCCATCAAGACGGAGTAACATGAGATCTGATGGCCTTGCACTGGACTGCAGTGACCTGCCTCCCTCTCTTGTCCATCCCACCTTTCATGGAAGAACGGTGCCAACTCCCGCCTACTCATTACAGCACAGAGAGAGGAAGGAAATCCTATGAGAAACACCTTGCATTTCCACAATTAAAACAAAAGAAACACCCTACCTTTACACTGTCCTTCCCTTCCTATCCAAAAGAAATAGTGTAAAGCAACCTGATCTAGTGAGAGATATCCCTGCCCATGGGAGGGGGGCTGGACTAGATGACCTTTAAAGGTCCCTTCCAACCCAAACCATTCTGTGTTCCTATGAATAGCTGATGACTGTGCACCAAATACTTTTCCTAAAATTGGGACATTTCAAAGGATATAGCAACTTTGCCAGCTTTGAGCAGTCATTTGCATGGGGGTAGCTTTTCAATGCTTGCTACCAGTGTTTATTTTATTCCTTTTCTGGGGAAAGGACTCTCTATTTCTCTCTGCAGTGCTTAAGATATTCCATAAATGCTGAAGCTATACTGACAGTATATGAAAATACTCTAAAGCACCAAGATTTCTTAATTTTCCAAGTGGCCAGTGTGGGTTTGGGCTGGAGTTTCATGGTGTTTGCTTTGATCAGGACAGAGTATGGGGGTTCACTTTAAAAGCACAAGGCTGAAACCTCATTAAGTAAAAGCATTTTAGCTTGTTTGCATATGAGCCAATTAGTTCCAGCATTTGAATGGACTCTGAAGCCCAGTTTGCATTCATAATTGACTAATGCTTCATCTAGGACATTAGTTGAAAACACCTTAGCAATTAAAACAATGCAGAAATCTCACAAGTTATGAAATAGCAGACTTCAAATACCAAAAATTATATTCATTTTTGGAGTTTCAGAGGCCCACAAGCCTAGATGTCTGTAAGGTTGACAGTTGGACTCGATGATCTTAGAGGTCTTTTCCAACCTTAATGATTCTATGATTTAAATATAAAACACATTCAGAAGGAACTGTGAGATTTCTAATTTTTTCCACAAACAAAAGCATCAACACAATTATGATTAATTTTCATCATAAGCTTTGTGGGAAGCTTATGCTGAGTCAAGCTGTTTCTTATTATTACTGAGGGATCATGGTGCTTGATTAGTAGTGCATAGTAAAGATGTATCTACACGTTAGCAGGTGTATTTTCATACTAATTTGACCCCTACTGGGCTGTAAGCTGGAGAGGTGAATAAGGAGGAATGTATAACACAGGAAGCAGCAGCAGCAGCAGCGCCACCAAGCAATGAAGAAAGCTAAAAGCTTATGTTTTCATGATGCACAAAAAGCAGAAGCAAAACAGTATTTGATGAAGGAAACTTAGGAAGGAAGGCAGAGTCATGTGGAACACGCAAATAAGTTGTTCATAATTTTGAGATGCAAAGAGAAGACAGACAGTGCCTGTCCATAGAATGGTTTGGGTTGGAAGGGACCTTTAAAGATCAGCTAGTCCAACCCCCAACCCTGTTCCTACAGGATGGATTTTTACCAGAGGTGGTTTAGGTGGCATGGAGAGGGGCTGTATTACTCTGGAGGAGCAGCCAGAGATGTAGCTTTTACAAAGGGTGAAAGTGGCAATTTTAGAAGGAAGCTGGAAAATCATCAGGAGAGGTGTCTGGCATCATGATGCCAAGGGGTATCCCTAACTCTGTCTGGGTGCTTCTCCTTAACTGTTTGGACAGAAAGCTCTTTGGACGAGATGTAATAGGTGTAATTCTCAGGTGCACATGTAAAAGGGCAGCTATACAGGGATGACTTCTTACTGTCAAATGAATTCCTCCTTGGTCTCCATTCACCGAAGGCCTGTCAGCCCACACTGCAGAGCCAATCTTTTTATCATTGGTCACTTTCCATGGACATAAATGGTCCCTTATTCCTTACAAACACACAAACTGATGCACTACCAACTGGCGTCCACAAATAGCCAAAACAAAATAAAGTTATTCTAAGGTGAACTATTTTCTAACAGAACAACACAGTTAGAAAGCAACCCCACAATTCGGATCCAAACCAAAGCCAGTATGTCTCTTCGTCTTCTACTTATAACACTTAGAAAGCGGCATGTGCAGCTGGAGTACAATTCCTTCCTTTTACCATCTGATGCAATTTAGCTTTTCAGCCACCTGAACGACCTGTGCGGTCTGAAGCTGCCTGATGGAAGGATTTACTAGGACGGGCTGTTTTTACACAGGCGAGGAGGTACTAACAGCCAACTTACCAACAGGCACAGTAATTTCTGTGGTCACCGTTTGCACAGCTGTAACAACAAAGGAAGGTACTATCTTTTGATAGGTAATGTTTATTACTCAAACACTAAAGCACGGTTTATGAATCGTGTCCCTTAAATAAATGCCAGCATATATGAATGGCATCTGGGAAACAGGGGATC